GCAGGGGGCGGACGTGTAGGTGATGCAAAGCAGCGCTAGTTAGTATGTCATGTGCATGTTGGCATATTTCGCTGGAGACTTACCTTCACTTCAGGTCTGCCAACTCATCCTCTAAATGCTTGCCTCCCCTTTAAGGCGTTTTATACCCTTCGTTAGGGTGTTGGTATTTGGATGTGCAATTCCTTAAGCCTTTCGGAAAGTTATCTAGAGTCGTTTAGTGGGAGATCTAAGTTCTTAGAACAACTTACTTTCAACTCAGAAATAACCCTTTTAGTATTCCAAATATAAATTTAAAAGAGCATTTCTTTATGTATTCATTTCATTTCCCATATTTTTTTCGTCCTTGTGTCCTTGCACCAAACTTGTGTTACAACGTAATTATATCAGGGTAACATTCTGGCAACACCAACCACCCCCCAACTCCCACACACTTTACCCCGCTGGTCCATGGAGTGTTTTCTCGTGTTTTTCAAAAGCGTTACGACTTGTCCTTCCAGGCTCCTCTTCTTGATGCTGATGTCTTTGGCATGGCCTTGCTGCCAGTGAAGAAAAAGGATTGTGCGAACATCTTAACCCACTCAAGAAAAACGCCCAAAAATTGAATTTAAAGTAAGCTGCAATCTGCTTAAGAGCTAATCACACGATTCTGAAGCTTTTGCCAGCCACAAATTTTGAGATTTCTTTGTGGAAAATTGAAAGCGGGGAAAGTGAAGTCTATAAACGTATATTAATAAGATTTAAATGGATAAAAAATAAAGTATTTATTGGAATGAGGAAAGGGGAGAAGAGTGTTTTATTTCTATTTATTAAGATTTAAATGTTTTCCTCCAGTAAAGAACAAATATTGGTTAAAAGTTTATCAACATTCTGCTATGCCAAAATGGTGTGAACAAACTCGCAACAGATTGTGGAACATGTGTCAGGTGCACACGACCACGCTTACTGGAACATCAATATGATGTCAATTATTTTTGCGCCAGCAGTCAACTTGTTTTTCGAAAAAATTACACTTACAGAATATGCTACAGGAAATGTTTATGATATTTTCATTATTGATATACAAATTCCTTTCTTTTTATACCCTTTCAGGGTATTATAATTTCAGTCAGAAGTTTGCAACGCAGTGAAGGAGGCACCTCCGACTATATAAAGTATATATATTCTTGATCAGGATCAACAGCCGAGTCGATCTAGCCATGTCCGTCTGTCCGTCTGTCCGTCTGTCCGTCTGTCCGTCCGTCCGTCTGTCCGTCTGTCCGTCTGTCCGTCTGTCCGTCTGTCCGTTTCTACGCAAACTAGTCTCTCAGTTTTGAAGCTATCTGAATGAAACTTTGTAGTTAGCCTTGTATATACTCTCACTCGTATATATGTCGGAACGGGCCGGATCGGACGTCTATATCATATAGCTGCCATAGGAATGACCGCAAAATTTTTACAAAAAAAATTTTAACTTTTTCAGTTTTCAATAGAATTGAATCAAATTTGAGATATAGCCATTTTACTATACTCTTCAATGTTGTACGAAATTTTATAAAAATCGGACTACTATATCATATAGCTCCCATAGGAACGATCGAGAAATTAATACAATTAAATTTATAACTTTTTTAGTTTTCAGCTGATTTTCATCAAATTTGAGGTATAGCCATTTTATATAAGTCTTAAATTTTGTGGCAAATTTCATGAAAATCGGACGACTATATCATATAGGTGCCATACAAACGATCGTTTGATGTGGAGGAAAAATGCAAATCAGTGAATGTAAAACTGCAAATATAATATGTATAGGTGAATGAAATGAAAGCAGGTATTACTTCATTGTTTTTTAACACAAATATATATAATTTATATTGTATGGATTCCTATTCATAGAAGTTCTATCTGCAAGGGTATATAAACTTCGGCGTGCCGAAGTTAGCTTCCTTTCTTGTTTTTTTTGTTGTAAGTTGATTTAACAACAAAATGTTTTGACTACAAACAAAATAGAACCATAGTTTTCGGTTTCCTTTCCATAAAAGTTACAATGTAATATACAAATCATTCATTAATGTTATTCAATGTTATATTTTAATCTTTGCTAAATAAATTTAAGTAGCATTGAGACATCTCCAAATTTTTCTTCAGTGCTTTAACCCACTCGACCCGCCAGCAAACCGAAGCCCACGAACCCATTTCGAGTACATCAAACCTTTGACACATTTGCAGTTGGTGCTCTGCGGGATGACTTGAAGGTACGGTCTCTGGGGAAATGTGGTGTCCCGTCGACATAATGAATACACACACACACACCCCTCGAGTGGAGCAAAAAAAAAAAAAAAACAGGAGGGATGAGAATGAATGCCATCAGCGATGAGAGTACTGCATGTTAATTGCCAAAAATAAAGTAAAGCAGGGGCGACAACAATTCGGAAATGGCTGCCTTTTTTTACACTTTGGTACAAAAGTATTTTAATTGCTTTGTACAAGGAAGCCAGGAGGCTACGAGGGGGATCAAATAACAACAGAATGGCGAATCACACAAATAAAGAGGAATTCTCAAATGGAATTTATAATCACCGGAAATGAAGTGACTCACCTCACTTTCTTTTTCTATATTAATTGAATTAACAAATTTACCATTGGCAATGTTTGGCTTCAATTTAAAAATTCTATACAACAATTGTTCAAAGCAATTTAAAATTGAATAGCAAGTGGATTGTTTATGATTTAAAGAATGTTCTTTAGTTGTCAGAATTTTTAAATTTAAATTATGTATAAGTGTTCTTTGTTTGTCAGAATTTTAAAATTTAAATGTAACAGATACGAGATTAAAGTAAGTTACGTCAAAAAAAAAGTTTAAAATACAATTGCAAAGTTAATTTATCTTATTAACTATTCAAAAATAAAGTTTTCATGAGCTTTAATTTCTTTCTCAAATCAGAAACAGCTACAGAAGTAACTTGATAAAATTATTATTAAATATAAATAGCATTCAAGAATCTTATACGCAGCGCTCAGATATATTTGTCTAATATTTTTAAATTCATATAATATTATACAATAATTTTATAATAAAAACATTTAAAATGATAAAGAAAAGCATTCTGTTTACCCGTGCAGCTTGCATTGGATCATAAGATCAACTGGAAAATCGATCATAATCAGTGTTTTTCAAACATCATAACTAAGCCAGAAATGCGTTAATTTCAATTCGGAAAGCTGTTCGGTGCTAGTTTTTAAAGCGCTAAAAAATCTGCATACTCAGTTTTTGAATTTAAGAAATTCAATTTTTTTGCCAAATTTTGGCAATTTTTGGAAAAAATGAAAAAATTTATTTTCCCACGAGATATGGCTAGATCGATTCAGCTGTTCATTGTGATCAAGAATATATATGATTTATAGGGTCGGTAACGATTCCTTCATTGTGTTATAAGCTTCTGGTTAATACTAATACCCTAAAAAAGGTATAAAAACAGGCCATATTTTTAAACAATCAGTCTTTTTTAAACATTATAATTAAGCCAAAAATGCATACATTTTAATTCGGAAAGCTGTTCTGAGCTATGTAGTTTTTAAATCGCAAAACAAATCCGCGTACTACGTTTGCTGATCCTGTTAAAAGATTCTGACTAAAATTATATTAACCTGCAAAATGGTATAAAAACAGGCAATTTTTTTAAATAATCAGTGTTTCTCAAACATCATAATTAAGCCAAAAATACGTTAATTTCAATTCGGAAAGCTGTTCGGTGCTAGTTTTTAAAGCGCTAAGAAATTCAATTTTTTGCCAAATTTTGGCAATTTTAACGATGTAACCCCTTATCATTTTTTCAATTTTTTGAAAAAAATTAAAAAATTTATTTTCCCACAAGATATGGCTTGATCGATTCAGCTATTCATTGTGATCAAGAACATATATGATTTATAGGGTCGGTAACGATTCCTTCATTGTGTTATAAGCTTGTGGTTAATACTAATACCCTAAAAAAGGTCTAAAAACAGGCAATTTTTTTAAACAATCAGTCTTTTCTAAACATTATAATTAAGCCAAAAATGCATAAATTTTAATTCGGAAAGCTGTTCTGAGCTATGTAGTTTTTAAATCGCAAAACAAATCCGCGTACTACGTTTCCTGATCCTGTTAAAAGATTCTGACTAAAGTTATATTAACCTGCAAAATGGTATAAAAACAGGCAATTTTTTTAAATAATCAGTGTTTCTCAAACATCATAATTAAGCCAAAAATACGATAATTTCAATTCGGAAAGCTGTTCGGTGCTAGTTTTTAAAGCGCTAAAAAATCTGCATACTCAGTTTTTGAATTTAAGAAATTCAATTTTTTGCCAAATTTTGTCAATTTTAACGATGTAACCCCTTATCATTTTTTCAAATTTTTGGAAAAAATTTATTTTCCCACAAGATATGGCTAGATCGATTCAGCTGTTCATTCTGATCAAGAATATATATGATTTATAGGGTCGGTAACGATTCCTTCATTGTGTTATAAGCTTCTGGTTAATACTAATACCCTAAAAAATGTATAAAACAGGCAATTTTTTTAAATAATCAGTGTTTTTCAAACATCATAATTAAGCCAAAAATACGTTAATTTCAATTCGGAAAGCTGTTCTGAGCTAGTTTTTAAATCGCTAACAAATTCGGAAAGCTGTTTTATAAAAGTTTTTACTCGGTGTACTAATCTGTACAATAAATTTAGGGTTTGAAGAATTTCAATTTTATATTAAATTTTGGCTATTTTAATAATGTAACCACTTATAAAATTTTCAAAATTTTGAAAAAAAAAAATTTTTACCGGACATGTCTAGATCGATTCGGCTTTCGGTGCTGATCAAGAACATAAATGATTTATTGGGTCGAAAATGATTCCTTCACTGCAATTTATGCTTCTGTCTGAAATAATAATACTTTGCACGGTTTTAAAAGTCCTCCCATTTTAAAGGTTAATTTTAATATTTTGTGTATTATATTTTATGCCCCTAGAGTTGCCCCATTAAACGTCAGTATTTTCGTCATTTATTATTTTGTTTCAGGCCCCCAGCAATGTGAAATCTGAAATGTAAATTAATAAGTGCCTCTTCGATACCAAACGACGACGACGACTCCCGTTAAACTGCTCAAGCTCAACAGAGAAGGTCGCCATGTCGCAGGAAGAACCCAGTGCGTCCACGACGGAAACATTTTCACACGAGCCCGAAATTTCTGTGGGTCGCGGACCGCGTATTTCCCAACAGCAGCTGAACTCTAAAAGTGAAAATTCTGGTGGCAACGATAGCAGCAGCGGTGGCTCAGGTAACAGCGATTCTGGCGGCGGCAGCTCGACCAGTTCTAAGGATGACAGCTCAGTGGATCACGCGATACAAACAAAACCCCAGCAGCAGAAAGTCCTTAATGATCCTCGCTTTCGGATCCGACCCACCCAACAGGTGATCTCGGCCTGCACTGGGGCCATGATTACCGCCTGCTTTATGACCCCTTGGATGTGATTAAGACCCGCATGCAGTCGCAGCAGTCGCCGTCGCACAAATGTTTCTTCTACTCCAATGGCCTGATGGATCACCTCTTTCCCTGCGGACCCAATGGTCAGGCAGCGAAGCCCAGCAAACGACGGCGGAGACCACAGTTTCGGAGTACATGGGATGCTCTGGTGAAAATCAGCCGGCATGAGGGACCCGCTGCCTTGTGGTCCGGCCTGGGACCCACTCTTGTCTCTGCCCTGCCTTCAACGATTATCTATTTTGTGGCCTACGAGCAGTTCAAGGCGAATTATATGCAGTTGTATGAGCGACACTTTAATGGCAGGATGGAGCATACGCCTCAGTTACTCTTAAAGTGGGACTAATTTCAGTACAGTGTTCCCACTTAAATTTTAACTAAATACTCTTTGCAGAAAACCTAGAGATGGCCTACCGCCGCTGGTTCCCATGATGTCTGGGATAACGGCTCGGATCTGTGCCGTGTCAGTGGTGAGTCCCATTGAACTGGTACGTACCAAGATGCAGGCCCAGCGCCAGACCTATACCCAGATAATACAATTCGTGCGGAATGTGATCGCCCTGCAGGGCATCTGGGGATTGTGGCGGGGCCTGAGACCCACGATCCTCAGGGATGTGCCATTTTCGGGGATATACTGGCCCATCTATGAGTACCTTAAGCTAAATCTGGGAAATCAGCCGTCGTTTAGTCGAAGTTTCTTGGCTGGGGTGCTGGCTGGTTCAGTGGCCGCCGTAGTTACCACACCCTTTGACGTGGTCAAAACCCACGAACAGGTGGAGTTCGGCGAAAAGGTCATATTCACGGATTCGCCGGCACGGGATCTGGGCAAGAGACCTGGAACTTTTAGCCGACTGAAGGCGATCCACAAGCTGCACGGAGTGCGAGGACTTTTCACGGGCGTGGCACCCAGGCTACTGAAGGTGGCACCCGCCTGCGCCATCATGATCTCCAGCTTTGAGTACAGCAAGTCCTTCTTCTTTAACTACAATGTGCGGCATCACAGTGAGACGCTGCTGATGAGCAATCCGAATCCTGAGTTGACCAAAGAGGACTAGCGGATCATCTCCCTCTTCTCTTTTTTAAGTCAACAGCCCATATTTTATGTAATCCCCGGGCTCCGAGCCCGATCCAATATACCAATTAAGCTGCGCAACGCTTTACGTGTGACATCGGAAAATCAATTTGCATTTTCGCAGCTTTAAGGACTACGACGGAATGACGGCCTGTTGCTCAGCGTGGGTTGGGTTGGGTTTCCCTTTTGCCCGAGTTGACTGCTAATGGAATATTCATTCATTTACATTAACTGCAATTTGAGCGAGCGCAAAAGGGGAAATTAAACGGAATGGCTCAAGGTAAACTGACTTAAAAGCTCCAATACGCAGCTCGTTTTCTTCCGCATGCCGACTTCAAACTGAATTTTCCCCATTGCAGTTAATCGAATTTTCTTTGTTGGCCAGTCACGTTTCGCCACAGTTTCCACAAAGGCCAGTTCGTGCCCGATGGTCAAAAATATATATAATTTCGGTGATTGAGTCCCCGGCAGAAAAACTATAAATCTCAACTGGTAAATATATATATATGTATATATCAAAACTAAACCGAGTAATTAAGAAGTGTTTGTTTGCCTTGGGCCGAACTTAATTGCATTTCAGTAGGGTTTTTGTTTTTTCGCTCGAATAATTCGGCTATCACAAAAAATTGTCCAAGCGAAAATTGTAATTTTTTGTATTGTTTTCTTTTGTTTGTGTGTGTGTCCTTTGTTTTCATTAAAGAGGCAAAAAAAAGTATACAAAGTCCGGCCAAACAACAACTACGGAAACAGGATGCCAGAGAAGAGGGATGGGAAGTGAACAATGTTTTGTTATTTCCATCGCTTCTTCCTTCTGGTGGGCAGGATAACACAAATTGAAGGATCTCCTGGTAGTGATGAGTTTGGGCCGTGATTTTGGCAGTGAGTGAAACTGTCATATTATTATTGTATATTTTCATTTCGCCTTATTTAATTGTTTGCATTGGGTTATACATTTACCCGCAGCAAGTGTCAAAGTGTGGCCGAGGCAATTATGGCAATTTTTTCTGCACTCAGCTCGGTATTTGTGGCTGTTCAATTAATTGCTCAGTGTTTCGTACTGAAACCGCTGATGAAATAATTGGGGAAATGGTCTACAGAGGGAATGATTTTATGCTCTGAAATATTGGTTTAATATTCTTTATTTTTATTAAAAGTCTCACAGCCAAGCTATTTAAGCAACCAAGTATGCTTTTGTTTTTCTTTTCTCTCTGAAATCACATTATTAAAAATACTTAACCAGTCGAGGGCCCGAGGGAGCATACTTAATGCTCAACATTTTATATTACCCCTTTTTATTTTTTTGCTCTCATATTGGTATTCTTGCTGGACAACGAAAATTGCCAATAAAGCGAATTAAAATATGCTTTCATAAAAAATAATGGAAATTAAATTTAAGTGAATATCTCATTTGTTTTTGTGTGGCGAATTTTTTACTTAACCACACCGAAGGACCTCTGACAACACTGCACTCCTTTTCTTCCCTTTATCTTTCCAGTTACTTTGCCGGAGGGGATGCTGGTGTTGGGGGCGTGGCGCTTGTCTATATATTTTCCGCAGGCTGTTGCTTGCCAGTGTTTTTTGTTGTCAGCATCAAAAAATATTTTCCCTGCCGCAAAGAGCAGAAACAAGACAGGAAAAAAAAACACACATAAAAACAAAATGCGAGGCAGGCAGGAAAAAAGCTGTTGATAGGGAACAGAGCCCTTCATCCGTCCGTGTGTCCTTGTGTCCTTCAACTGTCCCTGGGCCATCCTTCAACATTTGCCTGCTGTGTGTTGTCATCCTGCGAATTCCATCGTTTTTTTTCGCTCTATCTCTCTCTCTCTCTCTCTCTCTCTCTGTCTCTCTCTGTATTGTATTTGCATTTAATTGTGGCATTAAAAATATACCGGAATACGTCGGAATACGGCCTGGTCCTGGTCGGGGATCCGGATCTTTATTTATGGCCCGTCCGTCCGTCCGTCCGTCCGTCCGTCTCTGTCGGCAGTCTATCTCATTTCTGGCCTGTTTTGTCCGCTCACCATTGACATTGTGTGGGCGTGGCCATGTGAATGGATATTCGATTTATTTGCACCCACACTCGCATCCTGAGCGAACACAAACAAACTGGGGGCCATGAAAATGATTTAAGATTGGATTACAGGGTGACAAAGTGTGAAGATATTAAAGCCTCGACAGTGTCACCGATTGACAACTAATGAACTGTTAATTGACTAATCAAATCAAGCACGCTTAAGCGGGCGTTAATATGGCTTTCGGCTTTCTTTGTTGTCAAGTGTACTCAGGGGGTTATTTTTCATGATATGCATCTGTATTAGTTTCACATAAGTTCAATAAACTTTAAAAAGTTTCAGTTTGTTGCAGTGAAATCTAAAACCTTTAGCTGAATTTTCTTGTAATTAATAGTTATTTTTAATCATATCGTGTATATCTCATCACTTATCCCTTCCGTTTATTAAAGAAAGCAATCTTTATCATATCTAATCTATAATTTTTGAAATTGCAAAACACTCTAAAGATCTAATTCTAATTAACTTAAAATTACATAATGAATAATAAAGTTAATTCTTTCTTTTTCAATATAAAATATGGAAGATATCGTTTGTAAAAAAAATCGATGCTCTGTTCTATGCTTCTTTAAGCAACATTCAAACCAATATCCCATAGTTACTTTAGTTTCCTTTGACTATTTCTTTAAAGCACTATATCTCCTATTAATAACCTTTAATTAACTTTAATATTTTCCACCCCCTTTGACTGCATTAAATTGCTACCTAATTCTACCCCAAAGAAATTCAGTAGAAGGGTTTGGTTCCTATTGCAGCTCAATTTCAACAACTATTTGCTTAATTGTTTAATTTATGCACAGAGTTTGCTGAAACTTTATTAAAACGCGTAATTGTGTAGGGTATAATGCCAAGGCGGGAAGCGGAAGGCCTTCCAGCCTTTAGTTAGTTCAAACTTTCTTTTTCTGGGAACCAACAAAATTTCTATTTCAGCTTCGGTTACGCTTTATCCTGGTCAAACATCCGTTTCGGTTTGGTCCTTCGCGAAGGCTAATTGTTGGTCCTAGCAGTGCATAAATGGAAGTTGGGGGAAAGAGCGCTCTTTTCTTTCTTTATTTCTTGACCTTGTCCCGGCAATGTGTTTAATTAATTTTCCAGAACAGAGGCAAATAAATGGCAGGCGGTGCCATTGGTGGCGCGAGTTCAAATGAAAATGGGCAGCGGACGGACTTGAGTCTATTTAAAAATGAAGCCGAATTTTTCACACTTCATGGCCATGCATCATCAAGTGAGAGACGAAGGATCGCTCCCAGGGCGTCTTTAAAGGGCACAGGATTCTATTTTTTTAATTAGCGAACCCTTTGCTTTGGTTATCCTTTTTTCTTTCGTTTTGGCAGGCCGCCTGTTTGCACTGTACCTGAGCACGCAGGATTTTTAATTAAAAAGCACAAAATTGACAGGATGAAAAAATAATGTTTACCTTTTTGCCGTCGCCGTCGCCGTTGCGTTGGTGGATTGTTTGACGAGGCTTTCGGTAGTCCTTTCAGGATTTCTTACTCAATTCCAGTAGCCACTTGATTATTCAGATTCCACACACTCGGGCCTGCCTGTAATCAGCGTGGTCATTTTTCGCATATTTTATGAAATGTTTTGTTCGCGTTGGTAAAAATCTAATTGCGGTTAATTTGGCTCTTTATAAATGCAGGCCACAGCCCAAACCTTCCACTTACTTAACGCCGGCCACAAGTTATGCAAGGTTCTCTTGTTTTTCTAGCAATTTTGGCTTTCGGGTTTCCTTCCCCATGGCCGGCTAAATTATTTAAGCGATAATGGGGCGTAAAAGTCATAACTTTGGGGGCTGTAAATTGGGGGCTTTCTTGAAGGTTCCGCTTCTGGGGTTTCGGGTCTGGTCCTGTCAAGTGCATTAAACATGAGGCAAGGGTTCGCGCCAGCTTTCCGTGTTTTGTTTTTGTTTTGCGGGCCTCAGAGTTTACCCAAGTGAGATAATTGGCTAAGCTTTTGCCAGGAATCGGTTTATCAATTGTTGTATAATAGCTAAAATGGCCAGCTTATTCCAAATGTAATTTATGGTAATCGCTGTCTTAATAACAAACCAATTAGAAACTTTCCCATTATTTAATCAGATTTTCCAAGTCTCCTTACCAGCCTGCCAGTCTGAAAAATTTGTCCTTACATCGCGCCAGAGCGGCTTCCAGGACGAAAACTTAAAGATTTTCCCTTTTTTTTTCCTTTGCTGCTCTTCTTACGTCACGGTACGTCTGCTTCGTTTATGAATAATTCATGAGGTAACTTTATAAAAATAACGCACAAATGGCACTAAAACAAGGCAAGTGGAAAGGCCAACATTTGAGCAGAATTGTAAATGCCCTGAAAGTGACACAAACGGAATTGAATTGTGATTGCGAGTCATTTCCATGGGAATACGTGTGAATTTTAAATACTTTAAGCCGCTAATAATAATTCAAATAATATTTAGTATTTAATTTAATTTAATTGGTTGTACCATTTTTCTTCTTTTTAACTAAAGGTCATTTAAACAAACTTTAAGCTTTATCAATGATCTTCACTTAATCGGATGCATAATTACAGTTAATTGATTTTGAAATCTTGTCTTAAAGAAGAATGTTCTCATAGTAAATATTTAAAATAATTCTACCACCTTTTAAGTATAGTTAATATTCTCCTATTTTCCTCTACAAATACTAAAAGTGCGTCTAGGAAAGTGCCAAAGAAAAAGTTCTTCCTAGCCCTTACCTTACCTCACTAAGCTCACTCACGATGCTAAAAATTTAAAAAATTCTTATTTTTTAGATGCTTGTGTGTGTCTGACTGTGTGTGTAAGAACAAAATATCGTTTATGATGAAGAGAGAGAGGGGATACAAGCTGAAAAGCAGCTTAAAGCTTTAAATAATGCAATAAATTATTAAATTTATTTAGAAGCGCAAAAAGTTTGCTGTGGCAATTTACCAAAATGGTCGCAGCAATCGTTTAAGTGCAATTTGCATATTCAACAGATTTTTTAAACAAAGTACGAAAAAAACCACAAGCAAACGAGAGGCCCCAACAT